TCTTCCATACTTCTATCAAGCATCTGATATGTTATTTCATAACGCACTGTCATTCTTTGATCTGTCATGGGTATATCATCTAGATCATCAAGTCTCCTATCTTCCTCTTCGAGTTGTATCAGTTCCTCTGCATCTTGGAAATAGTCATCTTGATCTTTATCAAGCCCATCGTCATTTTCTTGCATGTCATTCTCTTGAGGCCCAGCCACCTCTCTTGCTGCTGGATATCCTTCATAAGGCTGAGGCACTTCTTCAAATGAAGCATTTCTAAGGTCATCCTGTTGCATGTTAAGCAACAACCACTTTGTCATTTGATTGCTGCTTGCCATTAATTGACTTTGTAAATGTTTTGGGATAATATCTTCTTGCAGAAAGCTTTCTAGGGTCAAAATTCCTTCAAGAGCAACACAGGTTTTTGCAATGACTCTTAGATGTTTAATCTTATATTCCATTTCTACAACATTATCATATAATTGTGAACTCCAGCCAAATATAGCGTCTGGTATTCCCCGGGACAGACGTACAGACCGTGCAAGGTAGTTTATCTGATAGTTACTTAGTGCTTCGTTTTTGCTTCTTGACCCAACTCTTACAATACTCTTCGTATATGACATCATTCCTTCCAAAAACTGATCCAGTGCATGGTTTGTATAACATACAACAAGTATTGGGGTTGGATCTTCTTCATTTTTCCAGAATTGACTATTATGGAGAAGAGTCTGAGTGATCTTTAACCCTATGAAAGTCTTACCAGTGCCAGGAGGTCCTTGTATAATTGCAAACTGTCGAGTTAGTGCCCCATGCAATGCCTTGTGCTGAGATGTATCCAATCCCATATCTAGAGAAGAAGGCCAAGCTTCTAAGCCATGACACATTGGAACACTGCGCAGTTCTTCCAAGCTGTTATCCGAGTCTTTCTCGGAAATTGACTCTTCCTTAGAATCTGAATAATTCTTGTGCAAAAGACATTCTAGTTTATTTTTAATTTCACTCTTTTTCATCATAGTTATATCTCTTACCACACGCAAATCATATGATCTATCTTCCATGTCCAAATAGGTTGGGATTTTCACATCATGATTAACATGGACAATGTATTCTTCCATTGGAACTGGATTACCACTCATGTCTTGTAGGGTTTGGAGAACATGCTTGTATGCCATAAAATATGCTCGTGACTCAGCCACTGTAAACTTTCCAGACATGTCAAAATCTTGAATGTCACTCTCAAACTTCACTCCGATCATTCCTTTTTTAGCCATATCTACATCCCTTTCTGCAACTGATGCAAGAACCATACTTCTGAAATTGTCCTGTGAAAAACATAACAGGTTCCCATACAACAGTCTCTTTGAATTTTCCACCTTTAAGTGTTTAGGCAAGTTCAGCTGAATGTAATGGATTAGGCATTTTCTTTTGATATCAGACTCAACAATGAATACATTTCTATAAATTCTCACTTCTCTAATATTCTTCGTATCATCTCTGAAATCATTTATTCCATTTCTTAATGGTCTGACAAAATCTTCACGCAGGAGACGGAACTGAATATCTAAGTAATGTTGACCATCTTTATACTTCCCTTCAACTATGTTCCTGCGGAGAAAAGGGCGCTGCTGTTTTGAGAGATCATAGGCAACTGGATGGACAGGCAGTTCTCTGAAGTCATCTGGTGGTTCCATGTCATCCATCATATACTTCCCCTTGTGTGTAGATGCTTGGGATTTCTTGTGGGTCCACTTCTCTCTGGCTTCACTTAACATTTTTTGTAATTCTTCATACTTCTCCTTCACTTCTGCTTCCACAAAACCTTGGTCTTGCAAAATACCCAATGCGGATATGCAGGTATCAGTCAAGTCCGCAATTCTATCAATGGCATTTGTAGTCATTGCAGTGGCAAAGGTTTCAAGAAAAATGTGTAGATTTAGAAAGTAAGTACTAGCCTCACTGGGATATTGCCTTTTAATTGTCATTGAGAAGGCACACAATCTATCCATAAATTTCTGTTCACAGGTCATACAGAACAATTCAAACAAATTTTGCTTATTGGATTTTGCTGAGCATGCCCTTGCAAGAACCCTTATCAACAATATCAGGCTGTCGTTACATACTATATCTTGTTGAAGATATAGCTGGTAACCTGACTGTTCTCTGAGGAGTTCTAATACAACAAGATCTGGGTGCTGGTCCAACAACAGCTCAAGTTGTTTGCGACCTATGGGATACTGCCTTTCTTTTCTTGGGGCCCTCCTTTTCTTGGGCAAAGAATCATCACACAAGTTATCCCGACTTCTTGCTTCCCTTTTATTGTAATCACTTCCTCTGCCTCTTCTGGAAAAGGAATCAGTTTCTATCCCCCAACCTTCTTGACTGCGGGATCTCATGAGAAAATATCTGTTATCATCTCTTCCTTTCTGCCTCCAAGGTGGAACAAATCCTCTTCCTCGGGGGCCGGAATGGTCTTCGCTTTCTCTTGCCCTCCAACTCATGATGTTGGTGA